AATAGAATAGAATAGAATAGAATAGAATAGAATAGAATAGAATAGAAAATAGAATAGAAAATAGAATAGAATTCTTTTTATTGGCCAAGGGTGATTGGACACACAAGGAATTTGTCTTTGGTGCAAATGCTCTCAGTGTACATAAAAGGAAAGAGACATCCGTCAAGAGTCAAGAATCATCAGGTCCAACACTTAATAATAGTCATAGGCTACGATAAGCAATCAAATCATAGTGGGAAACAGTCCATATAAATCATTAGGATACAAGCGACAAAGTGACAGTCATTCGGTCACAAGTGGGAGGGGATGAGTGAAAGGAAGGAAGGTTACTAAGGTTGCGTAGAAGGTTATTGGTGCTGAGAAGGTGCCAAGGAAGGAGGATGTGGCTGGACATGGTCCTTCCAGAGGTGAATCAGTTGAGGTGTAAGGTTTCTTACCTGTGACTACAATGCCTAAAGTTCCGTCTGAAGGTATGGATGCCTCCAAAATATAGTGAACGGAGATACGAGAAGATATATATCCCATCTTTGAACCCATCCAGTATCCAGATGTGGGTTCAACCACTGCAGCGTTTCTCAGGATTGGCTGCTTGAAGGTGGGTGGGCTTCCATTCCCACGATTCCCCAACTGGCCATGTCTGGGTTTTTTTTTAATTTCCCCTCCTATCCTCTAGAGCAGTGGTCACCAACCAGTGGGCCGGGGACCACTGCTGGTCCGTGAGAAAATTTTGGTGGTCCACAGAGAAATATCCCCCCACACAATCCAGGCTGTGCGGGAACACAAGGCTGCACCGCCCACATGGCCTGTGGGAGCACAAGGCTTGCATCGCTTGCATTGAGGACAACACGAGGGAGTGAGGGGAGGGGGGAAAGGATGGAGGAGGGGAATTTGCCCCACGGACCTGGCCTGGCCACCCTGTTGCTTCTTTCCGCTTCTTTCTTCTTCTGCTTCTGGCTGCACGCAAGGAAAGCAGCCAAAGTTTTTCTTTCTCTCCCCCAAACTCCGCCAGAAATGAGTCTTGGGGACCCTGAAAGGCCTCCTGCTCCAAGAGGCTGCAAAGACTCCTTTCTGGTGGAGTTTTGGGGGAGAGAAAGAAAGACTTCTGCGGCTTCTGCTGCTTTCCTTGCACAAAGCCAAAAGTCTCTCTCTCTCTCCCGCTGAGAACGGAGCTGGAGACCCCAAATACAGAACGATCGATCGGTAGGAAAACGGGGTGGGGGATTTTCCTGCAGACTTTTTTGGGGGGGATTTTCCCAGGGGGTCTCAGGTCCGCGGGATTTAAAATGATGAGTTTGGTGGTCCCCGAGTTTGGTGACCTAGAACAGAGAGATGCAGAGGAAGGGATAATAAGAGAGTAAGCAGGCCACAATGGGGATAACACCAAAAGGGAATGCATTTGTAGCCAGAGAATTCTGGCTGATGAAGTTCACACATTTTTATTTACTTATTGTTTATTTTATTTGCTTGTCAAACACGTACAAGAGAACAAGTGTAGGTCTGAACGTAAACCCAAACAAGGGAAATAAATACAGGTAAATGGGGAGGCACGCTGGTGGGCTTATATACGCCCCCCTTTAAGGACCTCTTAGGAATGGGGCGAGGGCCACAGTAGACAGTTTGAGGTTGAGGGGTTGAGGCTGGAGCAATTGAGTTGGGAAGAGCATTCCAGGCCTTGACCACTCTGTTGCCGAAGTGGACTCTCACATGGTGGGCAAGAGATTCTGGCCTTTGACCCACCTTCCAGCCACTAAGCATGAGAGACACACACTGTCCTAAAGATGAAAATATAGAAGGAAATCGGGGAGGTGGGGAGTTCAAAGCCCTTCCGGACAGATGTTGAGGATGAGTGGCAGCGCAGTCCAGGGAAGAGAGAGAAAGGGTTGGAGGTATGGAAGAGAAGAAATAGCGAAGAAGAGAAGGATGGTAGCGGAGAAGAAAGAATGCAAAGCACCTGACTAGGAAAAACCACCCCATAGAGTGGAGAGATTGCAGAGGAAGGGATTACAAGAGAATAAGCAAGCCACAAATGAGTATACATGTCAAAAGGGAACGCATGAGTGCCAGGGTGTCTGGATTCTGGCACTTCACCCCCATTTAAATCATGAGTCTCGAGCCAAACTTCAAAAACTTCCAAAGGATTTATTAGGAGTAAACATGCTGGCACTTGCATGGCTGCAGCCGACTCTGAGACACACAATTCCTTGTCACCCTTGACCCTGGTTTTCCCCCCCACTACCCTCTGGGTATATCCTAATTCATATATTCTCCAATGGGACACCTCCATAGCCCAGAGTCATTGATCATGCTCTCCAGTTAGAATTTTGCACGGCAGAAACTTCGGTCACCTCGTTACTATCTTTGAAAAAGCTATTTATGGAACGCAGTTTCTGTTTCCAAGCTGCCGCACTGCTCTTTCAAACCCCTCTCTCCCCCCTCCCTTTCTCTTGGCCACTCTAAAAAGACCAGAGAAATATTTTATGAGTTGACACAGGGAATTCTGGGAGGGGAAGCCTGCCCATCTTCAGGGAGGAAAGCAGGCCATGGATTCTACAGAAAGAAATGAATTCCACATGCCTCTTTGCTGACTTCTTTTTTTTTTAAACTTGGTTTGTAGAATCACCCGAAAAATCAACGCCTCCTGTGATCATTTCCCCAACAAAGTGGATCACCTATGAACTCAAGCCAGGTAATGGTCCCGTTGTGACCACTTGTTCATCAGATCCCAATTCAATTCCATTTCAGTTCAGAATTGAGCTGGAAGGGACCCTGGGGGTCTTCTAGTCTGACTCTCTGCTCAAGAAGGAGATCCTATACCATTTCCTTGCTCTCCGGGTCAGCCTCTGCCTTATAAAGCTGGATTGCAAGGCCGTGTGTGTGTGTTCTGTCCTCACTACACGTTCGACACGCAGCTAAGCTCACCTACCCTCCAATAAAGCACTGGATGCTTTATTGAAAGGACAGGATATGGTGAAACTGGGGGAAAACAGGGATACATACAGTGAGAACCAAATACAAAATAGACAGCATTCACTTACTGTTGAATATAACAATTAATAAATTGCAAGCAATTGAAATCTCACCAGCCATGCTCTGTGTGTCTGGGATGTGGCTTTGTCCTTGGATAACCATGTGCCACAGATTAAGATGGATTCTTTGTTGTGCGTCTGCTTTCTCCAAATGCTAAAGGAAATGGAGTCTGGCTTCCCAGCATGCACTTGTTTTGAGAGGGTGGGCTGATGGGTAAAGGGGTGGGTCAGCTTCAAACAATATATTTGGTGTTTGTCTCTCCGGCCACTAGCTGGGGCGAGAGAGCAACAACAGTATATAAAAGTTATATGCTGAGGCATGATAGGGCGGTCTTTCCTCTGTGTCAAGTTTCCAAGCGATGAAATCTATTTAAAAATAAAAAAGCCAAGTCCATCTTTCAAAACATTTTATTTAGGGAAGCATCAAATTGGCAAAGTCGTCGTAATTCCAGATCTAACACAACCCGGAATCACCCCACAATATTAGAAGTTAGAAATAACCCCCCAAAAGTCACAATATCTAATAGAAGTAATTCAACGTTGCCTGATGTCAAAAATCTCCACGTCAAGGGGCCTTAACGTGGTAGCTCGTGTTCCCATGGGAAGGAGGGCCTTCCAGCCTAAACAACTCTCTCTATCTTCACTCCTTGGGCAAGCCCAAAACCCTTCTCACATAACCACCAAAGGGAAAGTAAGAAAAACAATATATACTAAGCCTGACTGACATTGCTACGCGTATGTCAATTTCTGGCTTGACAGTCTGCCCTCCCTCGTTTGAAAAAAAAAAAAAAACTCCCGCCATGACACAGAATGCACAAAGATTGAAATTAAGTTAAACGCCATCATACCATGCGCATTTTAACCTCCTCTGACACAGACTTTCCCCTTGGGCTTGTGTGGATATTTTTCATGGAATTTTCCCACCCATCTATCAGCGTGAACTTTCCAGCCGTTTGCCCAAGTCGCTTGTGAAATTGCATAGCTTTTCCAATAAATGAAATATTGTAACTTCCCCCTGAAAATCCTAGAATCCCAAATTTTCTTAACTTCATAATGTTCCCGCAATGAACCAAGGCTTCAGGGCTACATGTTCTGCTGGCCTCAGTGAAGAATCAACAAATGTCATTAACTGTGAAACACCAGATGTACTTTTCCCACATTTTAAACTGTAGCTTCGCTTGCCATTGGGTCGTCTCCTTCGCTGTCTGCATCTTGCATGATGGGTCCTCCTGCTGCCAAGAGTCCCTTCCCTGAAATTGACATACGCGTAGCAATGTCAGTTAGGCTTAGTATATATTGTTTTTCTTACTTTCCCTTTGGTGGTTATGTGGGAAGGGTTTGGGGCTTGCCCAAGGAGTGGAGATAGAGAGAGTTGTTTAGGCTGGAAGGCCCTCCTTCCCATGGGAACAGGAGCTACCACGTTAAGGCGAACCTTCCTGTTCTTCCTCGTGCCAGGTGAACAACTTTTTCTCCATTGTGAGGTCACTTTCACGTTCCTGAAGGACTCTCCGCAGGAGGTCTGGTGGGCCATTGATGGAAGACACTCAGATGACATCACCGACTTCAAGTTCAATGTGTCCACCACGTAAGTGACCGGGGCTGTCCGCTTGACTCCAAGGGGAAAGTCACGGCTTTCTCTAGGTTGACAGTGGGTGGGGGGAGATGGGTGAGTCTTTGGGCCCAAAGTCACCCACCTGGCTTCCGTGCCTAAGGTGGGACCAGAACTCGCAGCCTCCTGGTGATTGGCCCAAAATCACCCAGCTGGCTTTCATGCTAGACTCAGCTAGCTGTCAGGATTCAGGCAATACTTCCCAATTAAATCATGAATTTTGAGCCAAACTTCCAAAACTTCAAAAGGATTTATTGTGACTTAACATGTCCAGCATTGCCTGGGTGTAGCCAACTCTGAGACATGGTAATTCGTTGTCACCCTTGACCCTGGTTTTCCCCCCCACCCCCTGGGTGAATCCTCATTCATATCCTCCAACGGGACACCTCCATAGCCCAGAGTCATCAGTCATGATCTCCAGTTAGAATTTTGCGCAGCAAAAACTTCGGTTACTTAGAGACCATCTTTGAAAACTATTTATGGAATGCACTTTCGGTTTGCAAGCTGCCGCGCTGCTCCCCCCTCCCGTTCTGTGGGCAACTCTAAACAGACAAGAGAAATATTTTAGGAGTTGACATTAGGTGGGTCTAGAACTCACAGTGCCCTGGCGATTGGCCCGAAGTCTTCTGATGCTTTGGAGAATAACTTGACCCCGTCTTCTTTGTGGAAGACCTTTAAATACTGCAATACTGTCAGTACTTCACTCTGAGAAGCACAGAGCTGAAGACACAAGCCTGAAGATGATGAATGAGACTTCATCGAAATGTTGCCTAGATACTTCCAATCTTACGCGGGAGAAAACCCGAATAACCAAAGATCGATCGATCGATCGATCGATCTATCTATATACATACATACATATACATATACATATACGTATACATATACATATATATGTCTAAGGGCTATTGCTATTCTGTTTCCGTCGCTTTTCTCTCCCGGACCTTCTCTAGGGAGACCCCCTTATCGATCGGAGGGACCAAGATCGAAAAGACGCTGATCGCGCCCCGTGTAACGGAGAAGGACTTGAAACGCAATTTCACCTGCTTCGCCCAGAACAACCGAGGCATCGTGCACGCCCAGGCGGTCGTGAGGATGAAACGTAAGGAAGCCCACCCCACCCCCCACCCCACCCAAGCAGCGCCACACACACACACACACACACACACACACACACACACAGAGTTTTTCTGGGAATCTTTCAGCTCTGCTCCGCGCAGGGAAGGAGAAGCTGGAGGATTTTGCTTTCTCCATTTTGGGGGGGACCACAAACGTCCCCAAAGCGCCCTCTGGTTTTCTCCAGCCTCCTCAGAAGAGAAAAAGGGGAGGGAAATCCACGTTCAGACCTAAGGGAAACCGGGGTTTGTCCAGTGGTTTCATAGAACTGGAAGGGAGCTCGGAGATCTTCTAGTCCAACCACTGTTCTGACCCAGGCTTCCCAAATTCATGAAGCAGACTTCTTGTCCCCCACAAAACTCCTTTGTCTAAGGCTAATGTGAATTCCTATCCTTCCTATCCAGCAAAGTCCCGGCCAAAAGTCTTTCAAGGGTGATTTACGATCACAGACCTTGATCAGGCTGGGAGAGTTGCCAGGCGGATAGCTTCCAAACACCACGTTGTAGCAGCAATTTACTTGGCAAGAAGTCAGGAACAGATCTTCACCCCTCATGAATTGAACTAATTGCCTCCTGCAAAGCCCACTCCCTCTTTTTCTCCTCTTTATTCCCTATGGGAGGGGCCATTCATTGTCCACCTGAGTTCTTTACTCCCAAGTCGACCCTTGTTCCTTAGCTGTTCCCTTCATCTGGCAGCTCTGTGCATGTGCACACGGGAAACAGGCTCCAGCTGCTCTTCTTCCCCGCTGATCTCCGACTCCAAAGGCAGCTGATAACTGTCGGACGGCCCGGCTCCATCTCTGCCTCCGACGCAGAGCCCTCATCCGAGCCTTCCCTCGACTCCAGGACTGGCCCAGGTTCCTCTCCAACCTCCTCACTGTCCAATTCTGCCACCCGGTCCGCTGACCACTGGCAGGCCACAAGACCCCTTCTCAAAGCAGGCTTCTTATACCGTCCAAGTCCAAGGGTGGTCCGGTTTATTTTTGAAAGCCTCCAGTGATTTTCCAAAATCGACTGGCCAGCCCCTGGGCTGCCCAAGAGCCCCACTTGGTAGGCTACCCTTCCCAGAGAGAGGAGGTGCCCCAGGAAGCCAGTTCAGAGCACAGCCCCCTCCCCTATTTGTCTCTGACTCGTCTTCGCTGAATGCCTCTCGATCAGGGGTCTCAAACTCAATTTCCCTGGGGGCCACTGGAGGCAGACACTGGGTGAGGCTGGGCCGCATTCATAGAAGTTTTTAGCCAGCTAGCGACGCATGGAGAACGTCTCGACGCGTGACGTCATTTCCGCTTCTACTTGTCACAACAGCACGGCGGATGACGAACAGCCCGGTGGCAGTTGCCTTTCTCTGCGTTTGATCGTGGTAGAAAGTACCGGAAATGGCGACCGCAAAAAAAGGTGAACGCTACCGGACTGTTCGTCATCCGTCACACTGTTGTGACAAGCGTAGTGGGTGCATGAAGTCGGTGTAGCTTAGCCTAGCGTCGAATGTCAGCCACGACGAGGAACGGCGGGCGGGACTTCCTTCAGAGGTCCATTCCCCCTGCGGGCCGCACTGATATTTTATTTTCATATCACGGTGGGGGCCACAGGGTATCGTCCTGCGGGCCGCAATTGGTCCGCGGGCCGCGAGAATGAGACCTCTGCTCTAGATCTGTTGTATGTTGGCTATGAATTATGCGACCCAAAGCCAACATACCTGGCTAGTGCCAGTTAGGGAATCTTTTTCCCGCGTCGGATTTTATTTTATTTATTTTATTTTTTTTTGCATATGTCCGTCAAGAGACCCAGGGCCACATTTGCAATAAGGACACTTGGAAGAACAGAGGGCGGCGGAGGAAATGAGGTTTTTAAAGGGTTTGTGCGCTGCTCAGGGAAGTCCGCAAACTTAAAGGAATCAATTGCGTGCCAGGTTTTTGTTGGCTTGTCGTACAAATCGGACGTCTCCACACGAGCCGTGCCCTTACCTGGCACCCAAAAGGGGCTGCTTGGGGACCCCTGGGAGGGGGGGCGGGGCAGGTTGGGCAGGGCCAACCCGTCGTGAGAACTACCGGTTCGCTGAACGAGGTGTAAAATGAGCAACCGGTTTGGCTGAACCAGTGCGACCCGGCTAAAGCCCACCCCTGCTTGTCGATTTCAAGTGACTCCGACAAGGCGCTCTTCCCCAGGCGCGTGTGTGTATTTGAAGGGGGAAAATGTATAAATAAAATAAAAGATGGCTTGATTTAAAATAAAAAGAAAGAAAAAGAAAAGAACAGGAATAAGGGACCGGCAGGATGCCAGTCCAGATCTTCTCGCGTCCTTCTGAAGTTAATTTGGTTTTATTCCTTCTCCTTACGGGCCTCAGAGCAGGAAAGGAGGAGGAGGAGGGTCGGTTTGGATTCAGAAGGAGGAGAAGATCTTGCAGGGGTTCAAGGTGATGAGGAGATCTGAACCCTCCAAGGGGTTGAGGGGCTCCTGGCTTTGGAAGCGGCTCCAGGAACGGATCCCAAGGGATGGGAGCCAGGAGGGTCTTGGGCTGGGCTTAAGCAGAAGTTTAGGTGTCCTCTCCTCCTCCTCCCATCCCATAATAACATTCATGCGCTCTTTGCGGGCAGGTCCTTCCTCCAGGGAAACTTTTTCTTGTTTGAAAAGTCAGGTATAGCTGGGGGGCTTCTGATCTTCCAGAAACAGCCGTTTTCGGTGTGTTGTGAAAATAATAAACTTTTCCTTTCTTCTTCTTCTTCTTCTTCTTCTTCTTCTTCTTCTTCTTCT